TTAGGGGGTACCCTTATATGGGGGCTATCAAAGTACCAAAATTCAGCGAATTCGGTTGAAAAACGAGATGAAGAACCTTAAATTACCGAAAATTGGGGAGGACCCTTATATGGGAGCTATGCCTAAACGTGGACCGATATATCCCATTTTCGAACCTGACCTGCCTGCAGACAAAAGACGACTCTATGCAAAATTTTGGCGATCTATCTCAATTCGTTTAGACGCTAGAGTGATTACAACAGACGGACAGACGGACATGCTTAAATCGTCATAGAAATTTACGCTTATCACGAATATATACTTTATATGGTCGGAAATGATTATTTCCATGCGTTACAAACGGAAAAACAAAATTAATATACCCTCCATGGTGGAGGGTATAAAAAATCATTATCAAGTACGTATATACACTGTAGTACAGATATATGCAGCTTAGTTTTTTGGAATGTTTCATTTGTTGTATTTGCATATTACATAAGGCGGCATTACAATTCTTGCAGCATCATCATCCATATCGAGGTCTTCATCGTCCTTTTTCGAGGATGTGGGTTTGGGTGAAGAGAAACGTTATGGGTATATTTCAAAATCAGACTATGCGATGGATGTATATTCATAGCAAACCATTGTTCCAGCATTGGCACGTTCTTCATTTGAAATATTAAATCGATTGAGGTCATCGCCAGCCAATGACGAGTTTGCTTGCATTCCTGCAGCATCGTCATCCATATCGAGATCTTCATTGTCCTTTTTCGAGGATGTGGGTTTGGGTGAAGAGAGGTGTGAATTGTTACGGATATATTTCAAAATCAGACTATGCGATGGATGTGTATTCATAGCAAACCATTGTTCCAGCTTTGGCTCCTCAGTGACGGGATCGATAAATGTACGATGTCGTTTGCGACGTTCTTCATTTGAAATATTCGACAGATTATCAGATTATCATCTGAATGCTGTGACTTGGTATCAATATCCACCGATTTCAAGCTCAGAGGACTCTTCATAAAGTCATTTGTGTGGGTTCTTCGCTCGCATTAGCACTTCTTTCCTCTTTAGCCAAGTTATTTGAGTCATACTTCTCACGTTCTTCATAGGATCGGGTTTGTGAGCGTTCATTTTGCGATTCCCTGAGATTTTCAGGTTTCTCATCCACCTTCGTGGCCATGGGAGATATGTGGTCGATTAGTCCCACCTTGTTGTCATTCGCCTGGTTAATGATAGTGACAATTGTGGAAAATTTGGACAAGTTTGATCATCATCCAGATCATCTGAATGCTGTGACATGTCATTGGATAGCGAGAGGTTACTCATGCTGGAAACAATAATTTGTTGGTGACTACTCATGCTGCCGGTGCTGCTGCCACCCGATGTTTGACCTAATTGAACATTCATGGCTGCTTGCGTGGCACCAAATCAACCACGCATTTCAGCACGTTACTGGGCGGCCCGGGCATTCTTAAACCAATACTCGACATTATTGATATCCAATGGCTAGCGGCCACGGCTTAATTCCAAGGCATTCATTTGCAATACATAGGCCTGTATCTGCTACCTTGAAGAATGGCGATTTTTTGAAACCATTTCTGTAGCTGCCGCAATTCCATTCAGGGATCAAAACTTTTGCGCGTACGTGTTTTTTGATTGGAAAATTGTGAATGTGATAAACTGGCATAATGATGCATGCCCGCCGTTGAGGCGGCACGAAAACCACCTAGTGCCGCAGCGGAGGCAGCTGCTGCTGCGACCAGCGCTTCAGTACCCATATTATGTTCTATATCCACCACGCATTTTACCATGTTTCTGGGCAGCCCCAGGCATTCTTAAACCAATACACGACAATATTGATATCCAATGGCTTGCGGCCACGGCACAATTCCAAGGCATTCAGTTGCACTACAAAGGCCTGTATCTGCTGCCTTGATGGATGACGATTTTCCTGAAACCATTTCTGTAGCTGCGGCAATTCCATTTCGGGATCAAAACTTGTGCGCGTACGTGTCTTTTGATTGGAAAATTGTGAATGTGATAAACTGGCATGATGATGCATGCCCGCCGTTGAGGCGGCATGAAAACCAGCTAGTGCCGCAGCGGAGGCAGCTGCTGCTGCGACCAGCGCTTCAGTACCCATATTATGTTCCATATCCTCCACGCATTTCAGCATATTTCTGGAGGCAGCTGCTGCTGCCACCAGCGCTTCAGTACCCATATTATGTTCTATATCCACCACGCATTTCAGCATGTTTCTGGGCGGCCCGGGCATTCTTAAACCAATACACGACATTATTGATATCCAATGGCTTGCGGCCACGGCGCGATTTCAAGGCATTCAATTGCACCACATAGGCCTGTATCTGCTGCCTTGATGGATGGCGATTTTCCTGAAACCTTTTCTGTAGCTGCGGCAATTCCATTTCGGGATCAAAACTTGTGCGCGTACGTGTCTTTTGATTGGAAAATTGTGAATGTGATAAACTGGCATGATGATGCATGTGTCGCAGCGGAGACAGCTGCTGCTGCGACCAGCGCTTCAGTACCCATATTATGTTCCATATCCACCACGCATTTCAGCATGTTTCTGGGCGGCCCGGGCATTCTTAAACCAATACACGACATTATTGATATCCAATGGCTTGCGGCCACGGCGCGATTTCAAGGCATTCAATTGCACCACATAGGCCTGTATCTGCTGCCTTGATGGATGGTGATTTTCCTGAAACCATTTCTGTAGTTGCGGCAATTCCATTTCAGGATCAAAACTTGTGCGCGTACGTGTCTTTTGATTGGAAAATTGTGAATGTGATAAACTGGCATGATGATGCATGCCCGCCGTTGAGGCGGCATGAAAACCAGCTAGTGCCGCAGCGGAGGCAGCTGCTGCTGCGACCAGCGCTTCAGTACCCATATTATGTTCTATATCCACCACGCATTTCAGCATGTTTCTGGGCGGCCCGGGCATTCTTAAACCAATACACGACATTATTGATATCCAATGGCTTGCGGCCACGGCGCGATTTCAAGGCATTCAATTGCACTACATAGGCCTGTATCTGCTGCCTTGATGGATGGCGATTTTCCTGAAACCTTTTCTGTAGCTGCCGCAATTCCATTACGTGTTTTTTGATTGGAAAATTGTGAATGTGATAAACTGGCATGATGATGCATGCCCGCCGTTGAGGCGGCATGAAAACCAGCTAGTGCCGCAGCGGAGGCAGCTGCTGCTGCGACCAGCGCTTCAGTACCCATATTATGTTCTATATCCACCACGCATTTCAGCATGTTTCTGGGCGGCCCGGGCATTCTTAAACCAATACACGACATTATTGATATCCAATGGCTAGCGGCCACGGCACGATTCCAAGGCATTCAATTGCACCACATAGGCCTGTATCTGCTGCCTTGATGGATGGCGATTTTCCTGAAACCATTTCTGTAGCTGTCGCAATTCCATTTCGGGATCAAAACTTGTGCGCGTACGTGTCTTTTGATTGGAAAATTGTGAATGTGATAAACTGGCATGATGATGCATGCCCGCCGTTGAGGCGGCATGAAAACCAGCTAGTGCCGCAGCGGAGGCAGCTGCGACCAGCGCTTCAGTACCCATATTATGTTCCATATCCTCCACACACTTCAGCATGTTTCTGGGCGGCCCGGGCATTCTTAAACCAATACACGACATTATTGATATCCAATGGCTTGCAGCCACGGCACGATTCCAAGGCATTCAATTGCACTACATTGGCCTGTATCTGCTGCCTTGATGGATGGCGATGTTCCTGAAACCTTTTCTGTAGCTGCGGCAATTCCATTTCGGGATCAAAACTTGTGCGCGTACGTGTCTTTTGATTGGAAAATTGTGAATGTGATAAACTGGCATGATGATGCATGCCCGCCGTTGAGGCGGCATGGAAACCACCTAGTGCCGTTCTCTATCCACCACGCATTTCAGCATGTTTCTGGGCGGCCCGGGCATTCTTAAACCAATACACGTCATTATTGATATCCAAAGGCTAGCGGCCACGGCGCGATTCCAAGGCATTCAATTGCACTACATAGGCCTGTATCTGCTGCCTTGATGGATGGCGATTTTCCTGAAACCTTTTCTGTAGCTGCGGCAATTCCATTTCAGGATCAAAACTTGTGCGCGTACGTGTCTTTTGATTGTAAAAATTGTGAATGTGATAAACTGGCATGATGATGCATGCCCGCCGTTGAGGCGGCATGAAAACCAGCTAGTGCCGCAGCGGAGGCAGCTGCTGCTGCGACCAGCGCTTCAGTACCCATATTATGTTCCATATCCTCCACGCATTTCAGCATGTTTCTGGGCGGCCCGGGCATTCTTAAACCAATACACGACATTATTGATATCCAATGGCTAGCGGCCACGGCACGATTCCAAGGCATTCAATTGCACTACATAGGCCTGTATCTGCTGCCTTGATGGATGGCGATTTTCCTGAAACCATTTCTGTAGCTTTGGCAATTCCATTTCGGGATCAAAACTTGTGCATGTACGTGTCTTTTGATTGGAAAATTGTGAATGTGATAAACTGGCATGATGATGCATGCCCGTCGTTGAGGCGGCATAAAAACCATCTAGTGCCGCAGCGGAGGCAGCTGCTGCTGCGACCAGCGCTTCAGTACCCATATTATGTTCTATATCCACCACGCATTTCAACATGTTTCTGGGTGGCCCGGGCATTCTTAAACCAATACACGACAATATTGATATCCAATGGCTAGCGGCCACGGCACGATTCCAAGGCATTCAATTGCACTACATAGGCCTGTATCTGCTGCCTTGATGGATGGCGATTTTCCTGAAACCTTTTCTGTAGCTGCGGCAATTCCGGGATCAAAACTTGTGCGCGTACGTGTTTTTTGATTGGAATTGTGAATGTGATAAACTGGCATGATGATGCATGCCCGTCGTTGAGGCGGCATAAAAACCATCTAGTGCCGCAGCGGAGGCAGCTGCTGCTGCGACCAGCGCTTCAGTACCCATATTATGTTCTATATCCACCACGCATTTCAGCATGTTTCTGGGCGGCCCGGGCATTCTTAAACCAATACACGACATTATTGATATCCAATGGCTTGCGGCCACGGCACGATTCCAAGGCATTCAACTGCACTACATAGGCCTGTATCTGCTGCCTTGATGGATGGCGATTTTCCTGAAACCTTTTCTGTAGCTGCGGCAATTCCATTTCAGGATCAAAACTTGTGCGCGTACGTGTCTTTTGATTGGAAAATTGTGAATGTGATAAACTGGCATGATGATGCATGCCCGTCGTTGAGGCGGCATAAAAACCATCTAGTGCCGCAGCGGAGGCAGCTGCTGCTGCGACCAGCGCTTCAGTACCCATATTATGTTCTATATCCACCACGCATTTCAACATGTTTCTGGGTGGCCCGGGCATTCTTAAACCAATACACGACATTATTGATATCAAATGGCTTGCGGTCACGGCGCGATTTCAAGGCATTCAATTGCATCACATAGGCCTGTATCTGCTGCCTTGATGGATGGCGATTTTCCTGAAACCTTTTCTGTAGCTGCGGCAATTCCATTTCAGGATCAAAACTTGTGCGCGTACGTGTCTTTTGATTGTAAAAATTGTGAATGTGATAAACTGGCATGATGATGCATGCCCGCCGTTGAGGCGGCAGGAAAACCAGCTAGTGCCGCAGCGGAGGCAGCTGCTGCTGCGACCAGCGCTTCAGTACCCATATTATGTTCCATATCCTCCACGCATTTCAGCATGTTTCTGGGCGGCCCGGGCATTCTTAAACCAATACACGACATTATTGATATCCAATGGCTAGCGGCCACGGCACGATTTCAAGGCATTCAATTGCTGCCTTGATGGATGGCGATTTTCCTGAAACCATTTCTGTAGCTTTGGCAATTCCATTTCGGGATCAAAACTTGTGCGCGTACGTGTCTTTTGATTGGAAAATTGTGAATGTGATAAACTGGCATGATGATGCATGCCCGCCGTTGAGGCGGCATAAAAACCAGCTAGTGTCGCAGCGGAGGCAGCTGCTGCTGCGACCAGCGCTTCAGTACCCATATTATGTTCTATATCCACCACG